TACATTTTAGTATTGTAAAGGCTTGGGTACACCCACCCCAGAAGATCTGATGAAGTTGTCGGGTGTTGATGGCCACACCTAGCGTTTGTAGCGCAGGTGCTGGAACCATGGGGCTAGTGGTGCCTTTAGTTCCTGAAATGGTGACTGACTCCCAGTAAAGCTCATAAAACAAAGAACAGGCTTTCTTTGATTTTCACCATAGTTGGGTTCCCAGCAATTTCAGGATATGTTGAAAGGGATGCAGGAGAGTTGCTCATTGAGGGGATTGTTGTCCTTCCGGCAGCACGTCCAGCATCCCTGACCCCGCCATTATGCCACCTGCATTTGCCCCATAGGTGCCCACCGTGCTGCCTAGGCCTGGTACTCCCCAAGACTCCCGCCTAGACTAGAGATTAGGGAGGGAAGAAACTGGCAAGGTCCGCATCGCCAGGCCGTGAGGGTCTCTCTCAGTCCTGGTGCGGCAGAGCCGTTAGAAGGTTAAGCAGAGATGAAACGGATTTGCACTGGAGAGTGATTGCATTGGCTACACTGCGCCAGGTAGGTTGGAAGGGCAAGGACAGAAACAAGGTGCCCAGTGAGGAGACCGGCAGGAACTCCTGTGTACTGGTGGCGCCTGGACAAGGGCACCTTTGAGGGCGGAGGCAAAAGGCTGCACTGGAGAGCTCCTTGGGAGGTGGAGCTGGCAGGATGTGGGGGCTGGTGGGAAAGGAGGGATGATGGCTCCAGCAGTGGGATGGCTGGGGATGGAGAGCTGGGTTTGCGAGGCAGGAACATGTGGGCCTGGCACTGAGGAGGGTGCAGTGTGGGCCACAGCCTCAGCATCAAGGAAGCTGCCAGAGGGCATGGACCTGGCCTGACCCCCTCAAAGCTCGGGGCAGACACTGTGTCTGCCACTTCGTTCCCAGCCAGAGCCCCTCTCTCTCTTCCAAAATCCCCTCCCCAGAGCAGGACGCTGCTGGGCTTTAGGGGTGAGGTGAGCTCTCAGTTGGGCCTGGGGAGCTGTGAGCCAGCGCCTGCCTTGGCCTCACCAGGTGTGGCAGCCGCGCCTGCAGCAGTGGTGGCCAGAGCTCCAGGCAGATGTGCCAGGGACTGCAGGCCCCACTGAATCCCGCCAGAAGCCTGATGGCACTGTTCTTCCTGCTCTGCGGTTGACAAATCTTGAATGCTTTTGCCTAAGGTCACATAGCGGCTAAGTGACAGAGTCAAAACTAAATGCAGGTTGGTGGCACCAAAGCCCCCATTCCTGATCCCGATATGATCCTGCCTCATAGTGTTTGAGAACATCCTGTGTGCCTTAATGTCCTGGGTCGTCAGAATCACTAATTACTACCCAGACTGGCTGCCTCCGTGCATGAGGCCAGCGCATATGTGTTAAAAGCCCAATGTAACAGGCATAAGGCAGGACCGAGTGACAGAAGAGCAGCAAAGACTCCTGCAATCCTGTGGGCACCAGGCCTTGCCAGGACTGCAGAGGTGCCAGGAATATGAAGTCCAGAGCTGGCCCTTTGTGTGTGTGTTCATTTTAACAGATGCTACCACTGCTTTGTCTTTTTTTTTTTTTAAGATTTTATTTATTTATTTGACAGAGACACAACGAGAGAGGGAACACAAGCAGGGGAGTGGGAGAGGGAGAAGCAGGCTTCCCGCGGGGCAGGGAGCCCGATGCGGGGCTCAATCCCAGGACCCTGGGATCATGACCCGAGCCGAAGGCAGACGCTTAACGACTGAGCCACCCAGGCGCCCCATCGCTGCTTTTCCTTAGTGGAGGCCCAGATGGGCGGACCAACAGTGAGTGCTAGAAATGAGAGGTTAGGGGATCACCTGGTCAGAGGAATTTAGGGCAGGCTGCCTGGAAGAGTTCTCACAACACAGGACTTTCCCCATTATCTTAGACACAGGAGTCTCTGGGGTGTGGGTGTGTCAGCTACGATTCCCTAGCCATGTGACTGCCTGGAATGGTTTGTCCCAGGTGCATTCTCCCCACCACACCTGTGGGGGTAACTCTGTTCTCTAACCTTCCTGGTCAAGGGAATGAGGCTTTTTCTGCGCAAGAACTTGGGAGTTCCTCATGTCTTTGGACCAGTGGGTGGTGACGTTTCCTTGGGTCCTTCAGTAAATGTTGAGGGTTGGTTCCGTGGTAGGACCTGTGCTAGACTCCATGAAGCCATGGTGACCAAGAGAAAAGAGGTCCCCATGGGCAGCAGCCAGTCTCAGTAACAGAGGCAGTTCTGCAAGAGCTGTGAAAGGTGGCCTGTGGGGCGGGGTGGGGGGGTGGCTCGGACCTCTCTGCTTGCCTGTCTCAGCTGAGGCTGAAGCCCTGTGATTCTGCCCTCACACCTTTGTCCCAGGAAAACAAAGGATGATTAGGTTAGCGAGTACAGTGGGGGTGGGGGTGGGCCTGCAGAAGCACTTTCCAGACAGAGGGGACAGGGTGGGGCAGGGGGCAGAGGAGCAGGTTCAGTCGAAGCCCGGTGGAGGCAGGTGCCAGGACTTGGAGGCCATGGGCAGTGGAAGTGTCACAGCATTGGAGGGGTTTAAATTTTATTTATTTAAGTGATCTCTCTGCCCCATGTGGGGCTCAGACTCATGACCCCAAGCTCAAGAGTCAGCCAGGCGCCCCCAGATTTGCACTTTAGAAGATGACTTGAGCTGCTGTGGAGAGCGGGGGGGAGGGATTGGGGTGCCCCGGGGGCTGCTGTCTTACCTGGTGGACTCTGACTGTGGCCCAGACGCACATGCTGCCTGCTGAGAGAAGCAGAGGCCCTGGCGGCAGATGGAGGAGGTGGTGGGGACGGGCCCAGGCTGCGTGACTGTGGGGTGGGGCTTGGGGTCGGCTGAGGTTGGGGACCCAGACAGCTCTGAGGTTCCTGGTGTTGGCACCTTGAGAGACAGTGAGATGTTCGCCGACACATGGGCAGCCCTCCAGGAGGCCTGGGCCTTTTGACTTCTGGCCGGGGCGGGGAGGGGGCTGTGAGGGATCTGAGAGAATAAGGGCCTCAAAGGCATTTGCATGGCCCTGGATGACGCGTGCAGATGTCCTTCATGGTTGGGGCTTTAATTCAAGCTTCGCTCTGCAAACACTGCCTGAATGCCCGTGTCACAGCAAGGTCTAAGCCAAGGATGTAAAAAAGAAAAGCAGAGCTCTCTCGGGTCTCGCTACCAAGATGACCAAGAAAAGAAGGAATAATGGTCGTGCCAAAAAGGGCCGCGGCCACGTGCAGCCTATTCGCTGCACCAACTGCGCCCGTTGTGTGCCCAAGGATAAGGCCATTAAGAAGTTCGTTATACGGAACATAGTAGAGGCTGCCGCCGTCAGGGACATTTCCGAAGCGAGCGTCTTCGACGCCTATGTGCTTCCCAAGCTGTATGTGAAACTACATTATTGTGTGAGTTGTGCCATTCACAGCAAGGTAGTCAGGAATCGCTCTCGTGAAGCACGGAAGGACCGAACACCCCCATCCCGATTTAGACCTGCAGGTGCTGCCCCACGACCTCCACCAAAGCCCATGTAAGGAGCTAAGTCCTTAAGGACTGAAGAAAAGCTGTTCTCCAGAAAAAAAATAAATGGCGATTACACTTCAAAAAAAAAAAAGAAAAGAAAAGAAAAGCAGAGCCCTTCCCTCAAAGAGCTGACGGGGTGCAGGAGAGACAGACACACAGGCTCACATTTATCGGCTAAAATGTCATAGTAGTGTGGACGTAGGGAAGGAACCTAGGTGCAGGCTTCCCAGAGGAGGCGGCTCTTGAGCTGAGACTCCTGTGACAGCCAAGCAGCAGAGGGCCTGCCAGGCGAGAGGTCCTCTTAGGTACTGTCCATGGTGAGCCCAGTTTCTACAACGAAAAGGCCAGCCCTGCCTTCTGTGAGGAACGACAGACTGTGACAGCCAGGGAGGCCTTGGGCTCCTCTCGACTCTACTTGGCTCTTCAGGAGGCTGGCCAGGCCCACTTATCTCATCCCCTTTGTCACCACTACTTACCGAGTGTTCCTTCTCGGACCTCTGAAGACTCAGGTCAGCTCTTGGGCACACCAGGCACCTCTCTACACCAAGCGGCTCAGATACACAGCCACACTGTGGTGGTGGCCCTGGGTAGGCCATGTGGGATTGTTCCTCTCATCCCGAGATCCACATGACCATCTCCTAGTGGTAAAGGCAGGTGTGGTCAATCTGGGAGGCCCTTAAAGGAGAGGGAGAGAAGACGGTAGAGGAGAAGAGTTGGGTGAGGGGTGGGTCGCCTCAGGCGGGCTGTTAACTTTTAGGGGAGTGGCAGACCCGAGCCTCCTCCACTGTCTTCCCTACAGGTGTGGCTTCCGGCCATGAAGGCCAAGGGCTTGGAGATTTCAGGTACCTTCACTCGCCAGGTGGGCTCCATCTCCATGGACCTACAGCTGACCAACAAGGCCCTACAGGTCATGACTGACTTTGCCATCCAGTTTAACCGCAACAGGTGAGAGCTCCCAAGGCCAGTGTGATGAGAGCCCTTGCTGGTGACTGCAGGCAGGGGCCAAGAGCTCTGGGGGGGTCTGGTGCCTCACAACTGCATCTCAGGCCAAAACTCTCTAAAGCAATGATTTTTTTTTCCCTTCTCCACGACTTCTTTATGTGGACTCCAAAGTACCAGGCAGAGGGGTAGGTTGTCTCCCCTTATTTTCGCCTTCCTCCACTGCTCAAAGAGTGTTTGCTGACAAAAATCCCCAGCTCCAGACTAGGAGCTTGCCTTTGGCAAACACCCCACAAGACAGGATGGAGCCTCCTCTCCAGGCCCAAGTTGCTGCCACCTCAGGGCCTAGCTCCAAGAGGGCTGACGGGGAGCGGGCCTGCATCCCAGCCAGCCCCTTGTGATACAGGTTTAAACCATCAGACGGGGCCTCTGGGAGTAGTGGCTGCTCCAGGCTCCTCACCCCACTAGGTCCCCTGCACTGGAGGTCCTGGGGAAGGTTTCCTCTCTGGTACCATTGGGGTCTTCATGGACCAGGCCAGCTAGGCCAGGGCTCTCTGGGGGACCCAAGCAGCCTCTCTTGATGATTCTTCTTCCTGAGCAGCTCTAGTGATGAGCAAACTGAGCCTCTAAGAAGTTGACTGAAGGGGCTGCTTTCTCAAGGAGAGCCCGCAGGCCGGTGGGTCCTGACCCTCTGTCAGCTCTGCTAGTTATCATCAGATGGCCCTAGAGTTCATTGAAGCACTCCAGGTTCCAAGGGGGAAGTCTCGACGATTACTCACAACAGACTTAGAGCGTGCTGACAACGCCCTGGGTGGCAGGCCCTGTGCTGAGGACTTTAGTAGAAGTATTATCTTACTTTGAGCTACTTGACAGCCCAGTGAGGTCAATGCCATTTTTCCCTTTTCAGTAGATAATGACACCTGGGTTCAGAGAGGATCAGTGCCTTGCCCAGGATCACACAGCAGGCTCTGGGGGATCTTCCAGGAAAGCCTGAAGAGCGGGCCACCACAGAGGCCTGGGGTTCCCCACATCGTCTCCCACCATGTCCCAGGCAGGTCTGATTGCCATCGTGGGCAGAGTGCAGGCCAGGTCAGGCAGCTCAAGCTCTGGATCCTCAGCCGTGCTACTCATCCCACAGGGTCTGAGCACAGGCCTGCCCCTCCGAGTTTCCATGTCTTGGAAGATGAGAGAATGTGTACCTCTCTCTGTTTTTATGAGGGTAGGAGTTGGTATAATATCAAATGCCCAGCCTGGGCACAGTGAGCTGTCGCTTTATGGTCCTGTGTGTCATGCTCATGGGGATCCTCCCCTCCTGATTTACCTACGTGTTGCTTTACTAAGAAGTAGGGCTTTCCTGAATCTCTGGCCAATTCTAGCCCAGACAGTAAAACCTGGTGTCTCACTTGGGATGGTCACATCCTTCTTGGAAGATGGGGATTGGTAGCAGAAACCTGGGCATTCAGAGTCTTCAGTTAGAAGCAGCTTATAGTTCAGGCCCCTGGTGTTAGCTGGAGCTTCTCAAGTGCAGGACAGAGTAAGGCCATGCTCACCTGGGCCTGCTCGGTGCGTAGCCCAGAAGAGAAAGTGGAGCTGAGATGGCCTTGGGCCTGCAGCTGGCCCAGGGCTCATTCCTCTTGTCCACACAGCCATTGAGAGTGGGGGTCAGGAACTTGTCCATCTGTCCTGGGCCTAGAGCTCAGGTAACGCCAGCTTACTGGAGAGGCTTCTTGCCAACTGCTGCCCTAGCTCTGGAACCTGAGGAGCCCACCCATCCCACGTCAGCACCTGCTTCCCCTGCCATTCCCGCGGGGGCTTCTCTCTCCCCAGCTTCGGCCTGGCCCCTGCTGCCCCCCTCCAGGTGCACGCACCACTCAGCCCCAACCAGACTGTGGAGATATCCCTGCCTCTCAACACGGTGGGCTCGGTCATGAAGATGGAGCCTCTGAACAACCTCCAGGTGTGTTCCAGGCAGGGCTAAGCACCCCACTCCTTAGCTTCCCACCTACCACAGGGGAGGAGCCTGCCGGAGGGGTCCGGGGCCTGGCCTTTGTTGGCAAAGGGGTATGTTTTTGGAGCTGTGCTCTTTGCCAGAGGCCTGGCAGGGGAGACCTGATCCGAGGGGACAGAGGGGCGTGGTTACCAGGGAAGGTGTGTGAGGGAACCTGCTCAGGTGAAGGCACAGGGAGCAGGCCCTTCCTGGGGCTTCACAGGTGGTATCAAGCATCAGGGACCGATTGGGTGGCCTTGTTCCTAGGTGGCCGTGAAGAACAACATTGACGTCTTCTACTTCAGCACTTTGTACCCACTGCACATCCTCTTTGTGGAGGATGGGAAGATGGGTGAGTCCTGAGGGTGCCCCGAGAGTCCCTGGAATATAACGATTGGCTTGGCCCCACGATGGAGTCTGTGAGTCGCCGGCCCCTCTGCAGAGCCTGAGGCGAGGGTCACACCTCCTCTGTCAAGGACCCCTGGGTGTTGTCTGGCCAGCTCTGTCCCACAGTGGGGGCCATGCCATGCAGGAGCTGTGTACTCCTGAATTCTGCTCTGCCCGCCCCTCCGCCTTGCCCATAGTCCTTAGACAGCCCTCCCACGGCCTCCCGAGCTGGGGAGCCCAGACGATGTCACACTCAATGTCCATCTCCTGTGCGCTGCTTGGAACCCCTAAGAAGACTCATCCCCATGCTGGGAGGGCTGCCAGCTCAGAGCTGAGCAAAGGACTTTGCCCACGTCACCTCTCGGTCACCACAGAAGCCCTGTGACACAGGCTGTGATTAACGGGCAGGCTGCCTGGGCCAGAGCAGGTGGGAGTGCATATGTGGATACTGGGAAGGAAGATTTAAGGCCCAAGGGGAGGGGGGAAGCCCAGGATCTTTTGGAAGCAGCCCTGGTGGCCGCTGTCACGGAGCTGAAGGTTTGTTCGGGGAAGCAGGAGGGGGCCATGGCAGACCTAGTGCCTGTCTTCAGCTTCAAGTTGGCACCCCCAAAAGACCCATTTCTTGCTGGATGTTATTGAGTGGGGCCCCAGGTTTATCAGGGTCCTGTCTTCTACCTTGTACCCCCGCAGACCGGCAGATGTTCCTGGCCACGTGGAAGGACATTCCCAATGAAAATGAAGCCCAGTTCCAGATCAGAGACTGCCCCCTCAATGCGGGTAGGACTCTCCAGCCCTCCCCCACCTTCCCACCCCATCCACATTGCCCCTCACCTGTACCCCCGGCCCTCTCCCACTGCTGACTGGGGGCCCTTCTCACTCTCAGAGGCTGTGAGCAGCAGACTACAGAGCAGCAACATCTTCACAGTCGCCAAGAGGAACGTGGAGGGCCAGGACATGCTCTACCAGTCCCTGAAGCTGACCAACGGCATCTGGGTGCTGGCGGAGCTGCGTATCCAGCCGGGCAACCCCAGCTTCACGGTGAGGGTCCCCGCTCCTGCCCTGCCGGCCCTGGCGTGTCTACCTCCATGTTCCGGGCAGCCTCTCCTTCCCTCTCTTCTTCCTGGACCAGGGGTCAGTCTAATGGGGTGCACTCTAGCCCAGCTAGGTTGGGGTCCCTCTGAACCTGAAATGAATGAGCATCAGAATTCTGACCCTCGCTTCCAACTCAGTCCCATCTGGTTATCCAGATAAGACACGAAACTGTGTCACCAAACAGTGAGTTGGACTAGAAAATTCTATACATTTGGGCCCCGTGAGGTGGCCCAGTTGGCCCAAGGCCCACCTGACTGGGAAATGGCACTGCTGGGCCCAGACCCTGGCCCTCCTCCTGCTCCCCTTGCCCAAGGGCCTGCCTGGGAGGGCACTGCTGGCGAGCACCGTGTCCTTCCTGGCCTTTGTGTCAGACCGCAGTCAGGACATGGCTTCCACGGAGTGCGTGGTTGTCCTGGCGGCCGTGCTGCTCTTCAGGCCCCAGAAAGTGCCGGGCTTTGCTTCTCCCCCCTGCACCCCGGTCTCTGGCAGGCGTGGCCCTCCAGACGCTGCTCCCCGGGCCCTGCGGGGCGGCGCTGGCTCTGAGGTGGGGCGGGGGCTGCGGCAATGGCTTCGGCGGTGGTAACTTCCATCTCCCCGTGTTTGGTTGCTGCATGCCGCCTTCCCTGCTGGTGCCCGTGGTGCAGGACCTGGAGGTTAGCAGATTGCTCTTCTCTTCCTCTTTCCCCTCCACCCTCCCCAGCCACACCTTGCACAGCCCATCTCCTGGCCTGGCTCCAGTGCACCCTGCCTCTCCTAACCCCGCCTTCCCCTGCTGCTCCCCAAAGCCCGGCAGCCGTGCGTGCAGGCCGCAGGCACGGAGCACCCCGGAGCTTCCCAGACAGGTGAACCCGATTGAGGAGCTGGTACCCCCACTTCCCAGCACACACGGCACTCACAGAGCCCTTCAGAGGAGATCAGGGCCCCGCAGGGCCACCACTGCCAGCTCCCGGAGCGTCATGCGCTCCTCCCTTTCCTCATCGCCCCCTGGGGCAACAGTGATTTTGGCAGAAGTGCTGGTGGCACTTGCCTCTCTGCCTGCTCTTCGGCTCCCACTGTGGCAACGCCTCGCCTCATGTGCCGGAACCCAGGAAGACTCCCCGGGGCCCCCGCCCCCATCTCTCCAAGCAGAGGCCTGCGCCCTCTCAGCGCCCATACCTCCTCGGAGACCCCAGGCCTTCCCAGGGGGGAAAGGGCCCCAGCAGCTCTGTGGGCCGGGGGCCGGGCCCTCCCCGCCAGCTCATGATTCATGCTGTGAGGCCCGCGGGGGCCAGGCTGACGACAGGTGTGTGGGCTGCGAGTATATTTGGTCCGCACCCAGCTGGCCGTGGCAGCCACCCCCTCCGCTTTACTACACAGCTGTCCCAGCCGCGCCACCAGCAGGCCACGTGTGCGCACCACACTCTTCCATCTGGCTCTCACTCTCTCCTCCCTCCCTGGGTTCCTTCCCAGCCCCAGAGAGGAGCCCGGGGAATTTTGAGCCCTCTCCATCCCCTGACCTCTCTCCTCCTGCAGCTGTCCCTGAAATGTCGAGCGCCAGAGGTGTCCCAACACGTGTACCAGGCCTACGAGACCATCCTCAAGAACTGAGGCCCCATCCAGTGCCCACCCCAGCCTTCTGCCAGCCCCAACAAGGAGTCCCCTGGGAGGGGCAGCACCTCCTTTCTGGAGAGGCCGAGCAAGGCTCCTGGCCACCATGGAGTTCCCTTATCCTGACTGCTGGGCCCGCGTGGGTCCTCAGGGCAGGGCAGCATTCCTCCTGGAGTGAAATCGCAGTGTACCCCTGTGCTTGGGGACTCCCCTCTTCCGTTGCTGCTGACAGGGTCAGGTGTGTGGGGGGGACCAAAGGACATAGACCCAGAGAGGCCACAGAAGCTGCTCGGGCAGACCTAGGGTTCTTCTCTTCCTTTTCCCGACCGATGCCTGCGGGCGACTCTGTGGCTCCCTCCCCGGGCTCCTGGCTTCTCCCGAAGCTCCCTGCCCCTCAGTCTCTCTCGGGTCAGTGTTAGAGGGCCTCCCCATGCCCGCTCTCGAGCCAGGCTGTCCTGGTGTGTGTGGAGAGTCCCTTGGCGTGCCAGCAGAGCCCCTCTGTCGGGTCTGGGGCTCCCGGGGCCTACACCCCTACCCTCCCTCTCTGCATCCACCCAGGCTGGGCCCCTGTGGTTGTGCCAGTCGGGCCTCAGCCTCCTGAGCA